GATGGATGGATGGATGGATGGGCCTGCATTCCCCATAGATACACCTGATTCTCTATCCAGCCCCTAAACGTCTACACTGTCTTCCTTTTCCTATTCTCCTGTGTGTCACAAGCTCTCCCCGTGTCTGTAAGTGGTCCCTCTGAGTGCCTCAGTCAAAGTTACCTGAACTGGTTCCTCTAAACAGCCCCCAGTGTGTGATTGTGGGGGAGACAGTGTGTCTTGCAGTGGTGTCCCTGCTGTTGTGCCCTGAACTTCATGGACTCTGGGCTCATCGTCACCCTGTACTGGATAAGTGATTATAAAAGATACATGAAGAGTTTGATACATGCTGACCTTTTCCCTGCCCCTTTGACCTTCAAAAGGAAAAGCAAATGTTTCACGCTGTCATACATGGTCCTGTTTCACATACAGACCCTAAGAGGCTCTAACACAAATCCTTAATAGCTTCTTAATAGCTGTTTATAAAACATCTTACATTAGTTTTCTGCAACATTGTAAGATCATCTGCTTATCTTTATTCCTCTTGGTAATATATATCACATCATAATACCTTCAGTAAAATTACCAAACATGATAATCAATGACTTAATAGTAACTCTCCTGTGTTTCCAGGTGGGGGTAACGTGAGGCTGGTGGATGGCACTGGTCCCTGTGCTGGGAGAGTGGAGGTTCTTCATGAAGGAGAGTGGGGCACAGTGTGTGATGATGACTGGGACATGGAGGATGTTGCAGTGGTGTGTAGAGAGATGCTATGTGGAGAAGCAGCACAAGTACAATATGGAGGTCATTTTGCAGCAGGAATAGGGAAGATATGGATGGATGATGTGTCTTGTAAGGGGTCAGAGTCGACGCTGAAAGACTGTACACACAAAGGATGGGGAGATAATGACTGTGATCATGCTGAGGATGCTGGAGTCGTCTGCTCAGGTAAGAAATAGGGTGTTAAGAAGCCGTATCTTTATTATTATTTACAAATACAATTTCTCTGCCGTAAAACAAAAATTAGGTCTTGTGAAATATTAACATTCTTACAACTAATATATTACAGAATCTAAACTACAGACCAGTATCTACTGTGGGAACAGGATAATTCTTCCATTTAAATATACACTGGAATTAATCATTGTAAATAAAATAATAGACAATGTTAATAAACTATTGCCTCTTTTTCCTTCTGTAAACTTCACAGATCACCGTGAGGTCAGACTGGCACAAGGTCCACACCTGTGCTCTGGGAGAGTGGAGATGCGGCATGGACGAACCTGGGGCACAGTGTGTGATGCTGACTTTGACCTGCAGGATGCAGAGGTTATTTGTCGGCAGCTGGGCTGTGGGATCCCAGTGGTGCTAGGGGAGGATGCGTTTAGGAAGGGGGGCAGAAATATGTGGGCAGAGGAGATCCAGTGTAGAGGGAACGAATCACATATTTACTTCTGCCCAAAATCACCTACGAAGAAGCAGAGCTGCTCACAAGAAAATGCAGCAGGACTGGTGTGTTCTGGTAAGAGCAACATTACTAATAGTTATAGAGCATAACATGTGTTATTGAGTGAGGCGCAGTGCTTCACTGCCTTCTGTAGGTAACACTGCCTTGTGTATCAAGGTACATTGTCATATTCAGAATATTTTTATACACAAGCTAGAGAGGTTGGCTCCCCATCCAGGGTTGTTCCCTGCATTGTGCCTGTAGCTTTCTTGATAAACTCCGGACTCCCAACAACCCTCAATTGGACAAGCGGCTTTAGAAAATGGATGGATGGATAAA